CATGCATGCATGCATGCAGGCACGAACGCAAGCACGCGCTAACAAACGCACGCGCTTATAAACGCATGCGCCATCACGCAATTGAATCCGCATGCGCTTATCTTACGCGCGCACGACACGCACGACACGCACGGCCCGCACGGCCCGCACGGCCCGCACGGCCGGCCCGCCCGCCCGCACACCCGCACGCCCCGCACGGCATGCCTGCACGGGACGCCCGCATGCCCGCATGCCCGCACGCACGCATGCCCGCTTGCCCGCATGCCCGCCCGCCCGCCCGCCCACAGGCACGCATGATCACGCATGCAATCGCATGCACGCACGCTCGGCCACGACACAACCGCGCTTTGGACCATGTTCCCCGGCTATGCACGACATTCCAGCGCGACGGGCGGCGGGTTGACAAACTTGACAATCCCTCGACTGATTGGCCCCCGAACTTTCGACATTCAATAACACCATGCTTCAAGGGAGAGAACTGCCCCGACGGCGCTGTGGTTTCTTCTGCCGGAACTATCATAAGGTGCCCAAGGCTGCATCAAAAGCAGGGTCACCTGCGGCAACGCCCAAGGCCAATCTGCGCAAGCTCTGTTTTGCTAGGCTTTCTCTTGGCAGTGCTATATGTTGGATTCAGAGGCTGTTTAAGTTTCAATTAGGTTATTATTCCAAAACAAAATGTTCCCCAAGCAGCAGCACCAGGATGCCAGGATGCTCTGTATTGCAGGCCGACCCAAGAGATTTGGAACAAACACAGAAACTTGCAAAGGCGACCACTCCGCGGTCCGCGGCTTCCAGAGGCGATACATGGGATTGCAATTGCAATGAGGCTGTGTGAACTTCGAAAATCTCACGGAGATTCAATAGACCATATAGAGCTTGCCAGGCTCCATTGCTCCACAGTCGGCAGGCAGCGGGCAGGCCGGGTGATGCACTTTGTTGCTGTCGAGTGATCGGAGGTCGAAATGCGCTACGATTTGGACTCGGAATCCTTGACAAGTTCCGATTATGGCAGGTCAAAGCCAAGCCCAAGGCTGTCCAGACAAAACCGACGACTAAGCTGCAGGCAGGGGCAAGGTCGCGAGAGGATGTTGGCAAGACCATGCATCTTGAAGCACTTTCATTTCTACTTAGGCGCAATGCCTACTGACTAGTGAAACAGTGCTCAATGCTCACGATTAGCAGCTGCGGTGTGGCCTCCTTTCAATGTTTACTCTGCTTACAGCATCAAGCATTTGGATCCTATGCGGTTCGACAGCATTCCCTTTGAGAGCTGAGAAGCTTGGCAGCGAAGTCTGCGCAATGGTACGGTGTGAATCTTTGCGGGCTCTGCCGTTTCAGGTGCCATCTCGGAGCTCCAGCCCCTCGCCGCGCTCGCCAAGTTCCAGGTGCCTGCAGGGGCCTCGAAAAGGCCGAAACCTGCAGCATGAAAGTATCTCCAGGCCCATCGGAACACCAACATTTCCACGATCTCCGAGCAATGCGTCCAGCCCTGGACGACTGGAGAGGCTCAGTTTGCAGTTTGCTACGTGGTAGCAGCGTCGGGGCGAGAGTGGGAAGCAATCGATGTAAATGTAAGTATGAAATCTAATTCTACAGAAGCTCCGACAATAAGCTTGGAACGACCTCGCCCTGGTCCTCGAGCTAGGGTAGGCCTAGGATACAAGAGGCCAAAGTCGAGGTGGGGCTAGGGGTGGTTAGGGGCAGGGTTTGGGTTGGTTTGTAGCAGTAGCTGTGGTTCATTCGTTTAGTTAGGTGGTGTTTGATTTGACTTGTACTGTAGCCATGGCCGAGACTTGTGCTGTAACCATGGCCGCTACTTGGATACTGTAGGTAAATGGTAGCTGAAGAATTGCCTGCTGGTACTACTTCATGGCTACTCGTATTTCGAAGCTTTGTAGCACGTGACACGTGATCCTAGATAGTACGGCCAAGGTCCTTAATCAGGCCCGGGCCCCGCAGCCCGTAGACCCGCAAGAGGCCCGCACGGGCCCGTAGGGCCCGTAGAGCCCGT